CATGGATATTTTCCCTCTCTGAAATATACCTTCCCTTCTCCATCCACTGCCTGGTCCTCCTGTGGCTGTGTATAAATGGCATTCATCTACAGTCTGCAGTGGTGGACTCTCCTCTAGGTTTATTCCACACCTCCTACTCACTTCCTAACCTGTGCAAAGTTAAAGGCCCGCTGCTATGTTCACGTGATACCCAAGAACATTTTGATCAGCATATGTACCATGCTATATTTCTTCCCAGTGATTGAGAGCTCGCTGGTGGAACTTGTCTAATTTGATCCCTAGCATCCAGCACAGTACCTGGAATAGAGCATTAAAGTAATAATAAATGTCTGTTTTTCTGATCACTGTAATAATGGAATCCACAGATGTTTTCTCCCCACAGACATTTTTAGCCTCAGCTCTTTGGTCCACTTTTCTGAGCCTGAATATCAAAATGTAGAGTTCTTCCTTTTATTAAGAGAGGCTTCTAGCTCTCAGATCTTACCTCCTCATGCTCTCATAGCACTTTACCTTTTCTAATAGTTTTTTGTGTTCATTTTTCTATTGTCAAAGATACTGGGGAGAGGCAGCAATCTTGTCATTGATACCAAACTCTTAGGACACACTACATTTTGATTATTAAAAGAGCAAAGAAGCTCTTTCCCGTCACCCCAAAGCACAATCCAGGTCCCCCTTTTACAAATCCTTCAGTTTACTGTGATTGTAACCTACTTAGCAGTTTTCTTCTCTCCCTCCCTGTCTCCCTCCCTCCCTTCCACCTTCCCTCCCTTCCTCCCTCCATCCCTCCTTTCTTCCCTCCCTTTTTCCCTCTCTTCCTTCCTCTGAATGGTAAAAAAATCTGTGGCCTAGGGGCTGGAGAAATGGCTCAGCAGTTAAGAACACTGACTGTTCTTGCAGAGGTCCCTGGTTCAATTCCCAGAACCCATATGGCAGCTATGAACAATCCTTAACTTCAATTCCAGGGGAATCCGAAGCCCTCTTCTGACCTCCAAGGCATTGCATGACACGGGTGCACTCATATACATGCAGGCAATACACTCATACACGTAAAATAGAAATAATAAATAAAATATTTTTAAAGCACTGTGGTCTAACAAGCATGACCTACATGATTCCCTAAGGGCATCCACAGTCCTGAATGGAATTCTTCTTGGATTAAACTGATTTATCATGGCTGAGCCAGACCTAGCCCAATCACACTGAATGGGCTTGGTTGTGGACCATAGTCACCAGGGACATTCACAATGATTCCTTCAAAAGCAATTCTGACTCATGATGTCATGGTAGGAACCATGGTGGCCAAATGCAAGTGGGAAAGGATGAGGACAGGAAGTGGAGTAGGATGGACAGGCAGAACACAGGAACTCAATATCCACATGAGTTCAGGAGTAGGAATTAGAAGATAGAATGTTTGAGAATTTTCCTTACCCCAATGGAAAGACCTCATGTTTCTTGTTCTTAAAATTTGAAGCATATCCTCATACTTGACGCAAGAACGTTGCAAGAGATGGAGACTATTACAAAGTTCCATAGCTGGTCACACACAGAGAATATACGCCTGTGAGATGCCCAACCCTAAGTGACACATCTACAATGAAACCTCCACACCTAAGGCTCACAGAACATAGTGCAACAAGGGGTAGAGAGAACACTAACACATCTCTCAACTCTCATCAGTGAAGCTTCCTCATGCAACAGATGGCAATGATCACAAAAGGCCCCACCTGACCAAAATTAAAGAAAAAGAGACTGCAGAATGTGGGTCCCTGGGCAGGACTCCTATATTAAGCTTCACCCACGCAGGGCTCAGAGACCATTGCAGAAGAGGGAGAATAAAGATTGTAAGATCCAGGGAAGGAGGTACGTGAACCTTAAGAAATAGTCCTCCAGGCTTCTGGGACCTTGTACATATGAACTTACAGCAATGGTGACAGCATGTACAAGACCCGTGCAAACTCAATCAGACAAAAACCAGCATAGACTGAAAAAGTGGGCAGGAAGAGCACAACTTTGGGGAGGAGCTATTAGCAACTGATCGTTGATGGGTAAGGAAGAATTGATCTTCTTTAAGGGGGTGACGCTAGTTAGACTGATCAGGCTCCAGTGAATGAACTAACACTGAGGGACATCTAGGTACACAAACTTGACTCCATAGGCCTTAACATATATGACAGAATGCATGAAGATTTATGGGTGGGACGTGGGGGGGGTACAGATAGGAAAGGGGAGCTAAATATGATTAAGATGAAACATATAAAATCCACAAAAATTCAATAAAAGTATGTTTAAAAAAATAATATAACAAACAATTGTCATAGCACAATGGAGACATTTGAAGAGATCTCCCGGAATGTTAGAACTGGGAAAATGAACAGCAGATCCCAATCTTATCCAAAGGAATATTGACAACTGATTACCGCTAGATGAGGAACAGCTGACCCCCCCCCCAAAAACAAAGACCTCTAGATAGACTGACTAGATTCATCAGAAGGGCAAGTAGTGGGGACTGGCTGGGGTGCCGACAACACAGCGGACAGTAGCAGGGATATCAGAGTATAAGGGCTCTAGTCGGGGGAGGGAGGCTATGGGAGGGTGACAACTGGGAAGTGGGTGTAAAAATAAATAAATAAAAATAAATAATAATTCAAAAAATAAAAATAAAAATAAATTGTGAGATAAGGCCAGGCTTAACTCAGCCAGTGCTATGGAAGAAAAAGGAACCAACCCATGTGTTGGCTCCTACTAGTTTGCAGCACAGCTTTGGGGTGAAATGCACTTACTGTTCCCAATTTTACTTGTTGCTATTTGTGCTTTTTCTCTCAATTCGCTCTCGGAAGGTAATGGGCACTACTGAACTTCTATCTTCCATAACCCATTGTGCTTTAAAGTACGCCAGAGGTAAATATATGAATATATTCTCTGGGAGAGCTTCTCTATGCACAACAAAAGGCAACTGGGAGAAAGTCTGATATTTTCTGTTATCAGTGACTCTTGAGTCAGGAGCTGCTTATCTTTCTAATGCACTAAAAGTTGATTTAATGACAGGCATCATTCCTTTATTAGAAATAAAAAAAACTACTTAAGTAAAATACAACAAAAATGTACCATCGATTTGTGTACAGGGCTAATATTTTTATGGGGGGATATTCATTTTACATAGTTCCAGCTTTTCATAAAGACTTTTTATGGAAGTGTATAATGTGCTTTGAGCATATCCTCCCAAGGCATCCCATCATCCTTTCCTTTTTCTTTCCTTTTTACCCCCTCCTTCTAGCATTACTCCCCTTTGGTCCCCTAAATAGCTTCAGGTCTAATTTTCTGTCTCATATATATATATATATATTCCCTCATATAATATATATAATTCCATCATATAATAATTATGTGTATATATATTATGTGTCTATATAAAATCTAAGTTCCACAAATAAAATACTTGTGATATTTGCCTTTTTGAGACTGAATTCATTTGCTTAGTTTGAACTAATTGTATCCATTTTCCTGCAAATGACAACATGCACATCAATGGCAGTTCATGGGAGCACTAGCCACAGAAGCTGAGTGGGGAACCAGCAGAAGGTTGGCTGGATATGCTCGACCTCAATCTGTAATTTCTTCATCCACCCTACCACTTACTCCAGGCTGACATAAAACTGCACTACTTCATTAAATACTGCTCATCTGCTTTTGCTCCATGTGCTTAAAAATCTCTGGCTACATAAAGAATAACATGGAGAGATGATGTGACAGTTAAGGGCACTGGCTGCTCTTGCAGAGGACCTGGATTTGGTTCCCAGCACTCACATGGCAGCTCACAATCATCTGTAATTCCAGTTTCAGGGGATCCGATCCCCTCTTCTGGCCGCTCTGGGCTCCTGTGCTACAGTGCACATACGTACATACAAGTGAACATACATATGGACCAAATAAAATATACAAATCTAAAAGAAAAGAATATCATGTAACTTGTGAATACTGCATATGGTTCCATGTACATCACACAATCTCTCAAGGTTCATCTTGGTAATATTTAGCTTATCTGTTTCTTTTTTCCTTTATCATGTTGGAATAATAATTAATAAATAATAACAAAGATTATGCCAAAAATAACAATTGCAGTAAGTATTAGGGAATATAGAATGAAATTGCTAATTTTTCACATAAATAAGAATTATATTAAACAGCATTTCAAACCATAATACACAGTCTAGAATGTTTCTCAATTTTTCTCCAAGATTCTAACTTAACATAGTTCAGCATGGAATATTAAATTAAGTGGATTCCCTGGCTTTAAAATGGAAGAAAATTATTGTAACCTTAAGAAAAATATAGAAACTAAACACCCAGCTCTTTTGTTCTTTTCAGTAGCTGTTATTCTGTTTGCTAGGATCAGATGGTCATGGAGGCCTGGCTTAATTGAAAGCACTTTGAGTCAGGATAAAAGGAGGCCTGGTCACCCTGTCTATAAATCAGAGATATAGGGCCAAGGCAACAGTGTTCTGTTTGACTACATAATGCGTTTGCAAAACAGGTCTTTACCAAAGAAGAGATCAGTCTCCTGACCAAAAATGGCTCACAGTCTTGTGGAGTTAGGAACATCAGGGTCACTCTTATTTTCCCCAGTCTTTGCATGAAAAAAGTCAGGTTTACCATCTTCTGATTTCTTCACTTTGTAGCAGACACTGACAGTGAAGTGTAAAAGGACATAATTTCAGCATTGAGCAAAAGTGTAACATATTTAGCTTATGAACAATTCATAAGACTGTTAACCCTTGTTGTTACCCATGTTTAACATCACAGATCATTAATCTATACAATATCTGTAAGAATTAACACCACTCCCAACGCTAATGATTCTTTTAAAATGACATTAAAGCAATACATAGCACAAAAAATAGTATTCTTTCATGTGGTTTCTATATATCTTGAATAGATAATATTAAATGAATAGTGTGCTTGAATACACGTTTAGTAAATAGCAAACCATTTCTCTGTTTTAGATTGATTTCCCAGCTACTGGATGGGATTATGTGAAACCTGATTCTGAAGAGACCAGAACTAATCTTGAAGAACCACCTAAGGAATGCCTGAAGCACATCACCAGACTGTCACAGAAGCAATCTCCCTTACTGTGAGTGACCAAGGACTGTGAGTGATCTGTGTCTGATTGTCCTGATGGGACCCTGGAAGCACTCACATCTCCCTAGAGGGTACCACCTGTCCAGTGTAACTTTCATTTCCTGAAGTCATACATGTTAGGTGATTCATTAATGTTGAGGAACTAAAAAAGTAATTCGGCATCATTTTAAAACACTTTTTTGTGCTTTAGCAATTTTAACTTTTGGCTAAGGAAAAATAGGAAGATTGGAAATCATTCAATTCAAAACTACAAAGCAGGGAGTGGTTGGGTGGATATTAGCACACGCAGGTGCAAAAACATTGCTCAGTCACCATTTCATTAAAGTAGAAAGCTGTTTTAGTAAACAGGAAAATATGAAATTTAATTATCATGATGAATTTTTTTAAAAAACAGAAATATGTCTTGTGAGATTAGCACTAAATTAGTAAGTAAAGAGTTCTTATATTTTGTTTCATAGTCATCCTCTAAGAAAAGCAAAAATATCTTGGAAGAACTGTAAGATAATCAGTGACATTTATGCTTGCTACTTGGTAATATGCAAGTCATAGCTCATTAGTCATTAGTTGTGCTCTTTGATAATATCCCAAAGCCATAAAACTAAGAAAGTTGTA